CTGGTGAAAGCCTGAGGTCATATAAATCTTTGAAAATCTGATATTAAAACTGTAAATATTTATTCAGTACACATGGAGACATTTAATCAGGTGAACACCACTTTAATATTTACTGTATCTCAAAGAGAAAAGGGCTTTCTCTCCCTACACCCTAAAAAAAAAAAAAAAGGAAAAAAATGTTGCGAGCCAGCAAAGTTGAACTCTTGCTGGAAAACAGAGAGAAATACATTTCACTGATACTGCTCTTAATGTTCCTGACAGCAAACAGGAAACTAACAAATTCTTACATATTTTGTTGCATCTTAAGGGAATTCATAAAAAAATTCAGTGTTTTTTTCTGAAAAGCACTACATGATTATATGGTGATATAAAATGGAAGACAAAATTCACTCCAGAGGTTAAGAATGAAAAACAGAAACAACTTTTCAGATATATGAATGTCTGCATGCAGATCTAAGTATCACTGAAAGTTTTAAACTTTTCACAGTTGCCAAGTCCTTCAAACAGCAGAGGATATGAAAGAAGATCACACTTTTTTATGACTAGTAAAACATAGTGGCAGAGAAGAGGAAACAGAGGTTTTCTCATTGTCTCAGCAGCTAGGGGGAATCACTGCCTTAACCTTATAGCACTAAACGTGCATCCTCCTCTTGAAACACATTAAGATAGAGCATATTCCACATTTCCATGACAATACTTAGTTTTCTATACCAATTCTCTAGTATATGAAAAGATCAACACTCAACTCTACAGATAAGAGGAATTAAGCTTTTTATACAAAATATGCTCAAATTAACACAGCATTTCTGAAAAGGAATCAGAAGACCTATGACCTTCTTGTTCCTGAGCTTCAATGTAGCAGCTTTTCCTTATTCTATTTTTTTAAATATATGATTGTCATAATACACTATGTTGCCTGACAAATAAAAAACAGCTCAAAGCTGTTGCACTGGAGGCTAACAACTACTGTGCATTGGATTCAACAATGTAAATTCCAAAACCAGGTATGCTATCAAAATGCCCTGTGTCGGTTTTACCATTCTAACCTTCTAAATGGTTGTAGACCAAAGTTGCAAGTGCCAGTCTCCGCAATTCAGAGTGAAAGTAATTTTCAAGGATTTAACCAAAGTGTTCATATCTTATTCATGAGATGTTTTTGCTTATTTTTTAAATAAAGAGAATGCAAAAAAAAAAGTATCAGAAAGCATCATGGACAGTAAGACTTAATGAAGTTCATACATGGAGAAATGTGTGCCTGTATGTGACTAAAGATACTGATAAACTTTCAATTGTTAGAAATGCTATGTTTAATTGAATTAGAGCAGTGAATTACTATTGAAGTTTTTAAAGAATAAAGTTTAAAGTATTTAAGCTGAATTTTCCCTTTAAATCTTAAGCAAATGCCCTTTCAAGATTCCTCTAATTTCATTCTTACAGACACAATTAATACGGCTAAACTAAGTATAACTTCAAATATCCAGTTTGTGTTATACTTAAAAATGAAGTTGCGATCTCCATTTCCCCTAAAATAAATTACAGTCCTATGACTATTTACATGCCTGTAAAACTATATGCTATTATTCTACATATTCATATAGAAAGAAATTTAAAAATAATTAAATGTGTTTCAGAATTAAACCATCCATCAGTCTCCTTTTTTCAGACTTGTCTGAACACAATATTCATATTATAAAGTGAAACGTAATTTGGAAATACAAAGCTTGCCACTGCAAAAAAGACAAGTATTGCAAGGAAACTCTAGAGAGCGTAGCACTCAAAACCAATTTCACGTACAGTACTTGAAATCAACATGACAATTGCTAGATTTGAAGCTGACAGCAACAAAGCTGACTATGACTATTTGAAGCTGACTATGCAACAAATACTGAGTGTTAATTATATATCTGCCATTAAATCATTATCATCTGAGTGCTGGAACTATGAGGATATGTGTTTGCGTCTAGTCCATTTCAATTCATTTTTATAGAGCATATAAAAAATTTGAAACATTTCAATAATTTTCTTCTGTCAAGAACCTGTTCTTGACTCTGATTTTGTGTTTTCAGAAAAAACTCAGGGCCTGAACTGCGACCTGGAGGAAAAGGATTCTCCAATGGTTAGCCTTCACGATGCCAACTGTAGCAAATGATAAACTGTGTGGTATAAAATACTGCCAATTACCTCAACAGTATACTATGTCAGTTGTATATTATTTAACTTTCATTTGCTAAGCAGTTTTAATCTAAAGTAAAATGTCAACCATTACAGGAAAACACCACTGAGCATGTTTTATTTTAGAGTATGATTACTTCTCAGCCTTAAATTTACCTTTCCCAAGACTTTAAATGTTAGGGCTAATTTGTATGTACTATTAGGTACAGCACTGACAATGCCATGTATCATCACTAGATGCTGCACAGCTTTCCGCATAAGCCAGCATTATTTCCAGCAGTCAAGTGTTCAAATAAATGTGAAATATTTCCTCCTCATCAAATGAATGACAAGCCTACATTAACCACTTCAATCCTGACTGCTATACAGGATAGCTATAATACAGAATACTGCTCAGCTCACACACAGCTTACTCTGGAGTAAGCTATACTACCTAGATGGACAGCTGCCTTTATTTTAGCTTCATTACAGAATACAAACACAATTCCTTCCTTAAAACAAACAAACAAACAAACAAATCAACCCCAGAAGTACCCAACCTACACACTTAAATGTTTAAATGTATTGGAATGTCTTTTTCTAAAGCATCACCTTGTTTTCCCCGCACTAAGTTATATAAACTGCTGTAAAATTATTAACCACATGCAAACTGCATAAGAGAAAGTATGCTAAAAGTTTTAATACGATTTAGACTATCCCATCTGCTAGCAAATTTAATTTGTATCTATTTTAAGACAAAAAACTCTAGAACAGAAGTCAGACATTATTTTTGGAGCATAACATGACCTTAAAACATAATATAAACAAAGTGAAGAACTTTTACAAGCGAAGTACAAATATTTTCAAAGTTAATAAAAATTATTTGGGTATAGCAACCTACTGACTCATACATTTCAGCTACTTTAAATATTTAGTAATTATCAGTTCTGAAATGCAAAATATGTATAGCTAAGTTTGACCAGAGACAATGATGGAAAGTTAAATCAAAGTCACGTTCTGCACTGGGTGCAGAAGTGTTAAGAGTGGCTAGCAAGGACACCTGAGATTCCCTAAACGTAGCAAGTCTTGTACCATTTACTTCAAGGATCAGGGGTTTAGTCATGATATCTTTAAAACCCTCCAGTCAGTGTAGCCCAACATTCAAATACAGAGATACAGGTTAAAATATAGATGCTGTCTATTATAGAAGGTAAGTTGGTTAAAATGTGAGTCTGATATTCCGCATTTTCTTTTCCAACAACCCAGTCTACTGTTTTTCAAGCATTTAGAAAATGTAAAGCATGTTGAAAAGCTCTCCTCTTCAGTACAGTTGACACCTTAAGTTTCAGATTTAATTATTTTTACAGTACTTATACCTGAGTGCTCAGCGAGTCAGTCATAAGTTGTTTTTCAGTATGAAAGTGAAGACTTCTGCTCATATTAATAGGTATACGAAGAAAACGGTCTAAACACCTTATGTTCACCAAATTCTTCCTTTCCCTAACATACTAATACAGCACATACACCAATCAAATAATAAAATTGGAAAAATAAAGTTTACTTTTATTCTAGCAGCCACAATGTGTTTTCTTCTACTTAAGAATTCAAACTGCATGAAGTGCAACACTTAAAACTGCACATCAGTTAGGGCTGTATAACTGCTCCTGAGTTACTGGAGAGTACCTGCTTATTTTAAAACCTATCTTATTGTGGCTTGTAGCAACAACGCGTTCCACAACAGGTCAAACGGAACCATAATACTTAAAATCATTAAAATCATGCTACATCCTCGCAGGGGTGGGTGAGAGGACAACTCGGAGCTCCAATATGTGAACGGTCTGTAGAAGTATATATTGTAATCAGAGATGATACTTTTTAAGCCCAATAAAAGTAAAAATCTACTTTGTGAGACGGATGAGTCTGTAACAAGAAAAATACGTATTCATTTTCCTTGCTTTTACAGTAACTTCAAAATATAAACACTACAAACTCTGACGATGAAAGGAACAAAGAGTTGCCATAAGAACCATCTTGCAATAAAATAAACATTAACTTTCAGCACAAAGAGAAGCCAGGTGCCGTATCAATACCTCAGCCTGCAAGCATGTGTTCTTGAGTGCCTGCTCTCTGCACAGTACTTCGGTGCAGGATTTGAGCTCTGTGCAGCACGCAGCGAATGTCTCCTTCCATCTCGACCACTGAGCATATACTACGCTCAAACAGGGAGATGAGCCTCCAAGGCCTTTGTATTCCCATCCCCAGATTTAAAACACAGCTCCGCGACGTGTTAAAAATTCGCGCTGGCGGGGTGCGGGCACACATATAAACACCGAGGAGGAAGAGGGTGGCAGGAGAGGAGAGAGAAGGCGGGGAAGGGCACAGTCTCCCTTGCCTGGCGGTCCTGGAGCCCCCCCCGCCGCCCCGCGCAGCCTCCTCCGGCCGCTGCGTGAAGTTGGCCGGGCATCACCCGCCCAACCGCAGGCCAGGCGCAGGAAAGAGGCCTCCTCCTTCTCCTCCCGCGCCCTCCTCTCCCCCCAGTCCGCCGCCAGATCCATTCTTCCCCTCCAGCCGCCCCCAGCCTCACACGGCGGAAGGAGTTGGGTGGAAGGGGGGGCGTCTCCATTACCCTCTCCACCCGCCCGCTTCCCAGGGACGGCGACAAGGGCCCTTTCCCGCCCGACGTGGGGGGGAGCCCCCGGCCGGCCTGCGGGAGCGCTCCCGCACCCCGGGCCCCTCCGGCTCCCGCACCCTTCCCGCGGGGAGGAGGGGGCAGGGAAGGCGCCGGGCCCTAGGGCCCCGCCCGCTCCCCGGCCCCGAGTAGGGAGAGCCGTGGAGAGGGGGCTACACACCTCGCTGTTAAAGGCTTTCACGGCCTCCATGTCGCGGCGGAGGCGGGGGCCGGGCGGCTTCTCTCCGCGGATGGCGGCCGGGCCGGGCAGGGCGGGGGCAAGTCTCGGTCGGTGCGTGCGTGCGCTCCTCGCTCAGGGGCCGCCGGGCCTCCTCTCCATGGCGGGTGGCGCAGGGGGCGGGCGCGGGGAGACGGGGGGCCCCGCTCGTTTCCGTCTCCTCCTCGCCCCGCTTCCCGGCCGGCGGCGCCGGCGCTCCCCTCCCTGCCCCCCTCCCGCCCTCCCTCCCGGGCGCGCTGTGCTCCGGGCGGCCGCGCCGGCAGCAGACGGGCGAACAACGCGCAGCGGCTGCGGCGCGGGCGCCAATATGGCGGACACGCGGGGGCTCCTCGCAGCGCAGCGCCCGGAGCGGCGCAGAGGGGCCACAGCGCCCCCTGCCGGGCAGCGCCCGCACACCGCCCGCGCACGGCCACGGGCGCTGCCGGGATGGCGGCGCGCCCGCCCCGCCCGATCCCCTCCTCCTCCTCCTCCTCCTGCGCTTCCCTGCTCCTCCTGCGCTTCCCTGCTCCTCCTGCGCTTCCCTAGTCCTCCGCTTCCGGGAGCGGGCGAGAAGGGAAAGGCTGCGGGAGTGCGGTGTTAAACGCAGCTCTGTGTCGTCACCGGGGGCAAGTCCAGGAGTTGTCGCGACGCCGTGGTAGCGTTTCCGGATGCCCGGACGGTTCGCCTACCCCTCCTCCCGGCAAGGCCCGCCGGGGAAACCGGGAACGGCATACAGGCTTGAAGAAAAACAGCGGGAGAGAGAATCAGCGAGACGTAAGAGGGCAACCCCCCCCCACACACACAATTAAATAAGCCCATTAGTATTCAGTGTTATTTATCAAGAGGAAAGGAGAAGACCCACAAAATCGTAATGCAAATCGATCACAAGCCCCAGTGCACTTAATACATCAATATTATTACTTAATCATCCAACACAAGAGGTCTGCAAGACCATTCCCAGGCGTTAAGTCATTTCTGTTTGACAGCCCAGGGCGTGTTCCCAGGTTAAGTTGTGGACAGGGTGCAGTTCCACGAACAGCAGTGCCGCCCGTGCCTGCACCACCATGCCGGTCCAGCAGAGCACCTGCCTCCCCCTGAAGCACGAACACCTTGCTCGGTGCAGAAATCCCGGCAGCAACAGCTCTATCAAACAGGAGGACTTGCTTCCAGGGCATACGTTTTTGCTCCCTCAAACACAAAGCCACCACCTGACTCACCTTCATGAGGGAGAGCCTCAAGGAGCTCAGAACCACTGAGGATGAAACCTTAGGTTTGTCTTTATCTGCTGTTTTCCCTTGCTTATGTTCTTTCAACTCTACTGACACAGCAGACATATGACAGCATGAATTAGGTTCGCATTTGAATTGTGTTGCATTATTTTCCAGTGACAACCCTAAACCAGTGCCTTCCTGTTCTCACAGGTGTCCCTCAGACCAGAGCCAAAAGGGCTCTTCATGGACAGTGAAGATCCCACTGCAGGCCTGAGCCATAGCCTTACAAACTGAAGTGGGCTTTATTCAACAAACAAGGTAAGTTACAAATTAGGATAAGCCCAACATCTGAGGCAGACCTGGAATCCTACAGCTCCATTCTTATACAAACAGAATTGGAAGTTTCTCCACCCTTACCCCACAACCAGCTTACTTAGGGAAACAGCCTATCTCTAAACAACCACTGTTGTTGCAGTATCAAGCCACCCAGAGGGCCAGGAGGCGAGAGCAAGTGCCCTGTTATAAGAGAATGAGATGACAGGGTCTGTTCAGATTGAAAAGAAAGATGACCATGAGGTAGGGAAGGCACCCACTAGCAGTCAATAGCTGTAAAACAAAATAACTGAATAAAGCTCCTTAACATTTTTGATCATTTCTAAGCAATTGAATAAAGCTCTTTGCAGACCTATGTAGGAGGTCAAGAGGTACTGGTCTTTGCTTAAAGCAGAAGAAGTTCTGACCTCTCAACTGAAGGAAAGCCTTTTCCATTGTGAAGATGGCCAAGCACTGAAGTAGGTTTTCCAGAGAAGCTGTGCAGTCTGTATCTCTTTCCAAAGTACCATGGGAGCTTAGCAACTTACTCAGAGCTCACAACTGACCTTGCTTTGAGCCAGAGGTTGGACTAGAGAGCTCCCCAGGTCCCTTCCAATCTGAGTAGCACTGACACTGTATGAACTGCATAGCTCAGTACAACCTTCTGGCAGACCCTCTTCACAGATGATTTAAGAGGAGCACACTATGCTTACCAGAAGGGACAAAGCCTCTGTTCCTCTTTTGTTCTTTTTTTTTTTTTTTTCCTGTGGAAATTAAGAGTAAATAAAATATGAAGAGATGATTCTGTTCAAATTGTTGTGAAGGCTTTACATGATACTCATTGTATTACAAGAGTAACTGCTAAAACTATTTACTTTGTACTCCTTTGGAAAACTTACGAAAATACTGAAGTTACAAACAATCCTCCAGCATGTGGTAGCTTTCCTATTAGGTGAAATTGAAGCAAGCCTAATTTGCCTTATTAAAATGGATGGAATACCATGCTGCAGAAACTTTGCAGAAAAGGTTTTGAAATTGGCTTCAAAGTGATCACAATTGCTTTTCCAGAAGGACAAAGGTTATTCCAATAAATGAGAAATCAGAGAAGGAGGGGTAGGATTTACACTTAGAGGTACATGCACGAAGCCTTGACCTCAAAAGCAAAGTCTGAATTTGAAACTAAGTGATTTCCCTCCCCCCCATTCAACCTGCTTGCTGTAGGTCTGTAATAGACATTTAAATATTTTTACCACTAAAGAGTTTAGATAGCAAAGTCTTTTAACACCCCTATTTAATTCCAGCAGTAGAAAGGAGAATGGGAGTACAGTACTTCTCTGATCTCATAAGGAGCCAGCTGTCATCCAAGTACGAGTAATAGGTTATAGAATGGATACTGTAATACATCTCCGATTATACTTACATGTTCTAAGTTAAGCAAGCATACAAATGAAGTCATATGAAAACAGTAATAGTGCAGAAACACTGGCATATTCTGGGGCAAGGCCACCTTGCCCCACAAGGCTTCTGGTGCAGTGATTTCACTGTCACTGCTAATGTACCAAAGCCGGGAGATTTCTCACTGTGCTGCACAGAAGAGTAAGTGTCAACTTGCTGCACAGCACAAGCTTTCTGCAGTACTGTCCAGTACTCTGCACTACTGCTGAAGCTCATAGCAGAAGCTTTAGTTTTGGAAATTAAGATCCCACTTGCTTTCTGACACATCAGCGTGGGACTTGCAATGATGGGCCACACTTTCTGTGTGTATGCAAACACCTAGCTCTGCAATCAGAGAGAAAAAGCAGGACTGAATAGATCTTTAATCTGCTGTTTAGTGTATTTTTTCCCCCATAAGAGAAGGTAAAATATATATGCCTGCCTTTTTCCTCCTTCTGACAAGTCCAAATATAGACTCAATAGATCAAACCAAAGATCAAACTGGCAAATGCTCTTAAGAAATCTCTCATCCAAGTGAGCAATACCCTTATGCTTCCTCTTAGCAGAGGAAACCGCATGCAAGTGTTAGATTCAAAACCGCATGCAACTGTCAGGAGGGAAAACTGGTGTTCCAGTAGGTAGAGAACACAAGAAAGTAGATCTGTTATTCGTCCCTTATAGCTTCAGGTAAGAGGATGTCACTCAGTTTTCTTCACAATAACTCTCTCCACAATTTTTTTGAATGCACACTGCCTATCTGTACTTAATTTTTCAGTGCATTTTCAAGAAGTTGCTTACCATTTTTACTGAACTTTAGCACATTTCTCCCCTCTATCCTTCTTCACTAACTCTACCTCATCTTCCCCTTTCATTTGCATTTGCAGTCCTCCTTCACTGTAACCATTGTAAAAGCTTAAACTGTAACTAAAAGTAGAGAAATAAATTTTCTGTTGAACTTTTGAGTTTCTTACAGACATGGGTTCACATAAAGAGCTCTTTCTCAAGTACTTAAAAATTTCAGAGGTTGTAAGAGAATTTTTGAACCATTTGTAATCATGCTTTACTCATGACAGCCTGGTAGTTTGGAACCCCAGTTAGTTTACTGCACAGTTCCTGCTTGTCAAGCTTGACTGACTCTGAATACCTTGCACTTGTCGTGGCATAATGGTGTCAGACTCTTTCAGCACAACAGCACAGAAACCACCTCAAGACTACTTGATTGAAAAAAGCATGTTCAAAAGCAATTGAAGCTTTAATTTACAGGTCAGCTACGGCTCTCAGCGGCACACACTATAAATCTCTGTTGATTTCAAAGTAAACTGCTTTAATCGGGAAAGGAGAGCAAAGTCTTGGAAATTACCTTGAAGTAACATTTGTCAGATTTGCCTGTAGGAGATTTGGATAACCTAATGTAAAAATGTGCTGCAGTCACATCTACTGTGGCATTTCCAACATTTCATAAGCTTAGCCAGAAACCATTTACTAATGCTTTCTTATTCTGTGTGAGGTTCTAATCCTGAAGACTCTGCCATCCTGTTTTTGATTGTAGTGTACAATTACAAGGTAGAGTGATCATTGTTTCCTACAGCTGCATAGTCATGTTTAGTTCTGCGCCTAACAAGACAATTCTTTCAAAATAAAGGTCAGACAATGGATTTGCAGTAACAATTATACCATGCTTGCATCATTTTAAATGTAACAGCAAAACTACAAGGATAGAACAACCTATGATTTCAGCTTGTAAATACTGTAAAAGACTTTAAAAATGTTTTATGGTCAATCCCAACTGCAAACATATCCATTTTTTCTTTGAGGGAAGCTCAAACTAAAACAAAGTTATAAATAATTTTTCAGTAGATATATCTATAAATACGTATAAGTACTAAAATCACCTTGAAGAATTCAATTCCAGCACTAAAAAATAAAACTTTCTAAAATATACTTAACTATTTCAAGGAAAATTCAAGGATGATTCATTCATAAGTGTCAGACATTATAAGCAGCAGAAGACTGCTTATTTGGGGTAGTGCTGTTTGTAGAGGAAGAAGCAAATCTAGGGTCAGAAGGACTGCAGTAAAAATAATTGAGATACTGAACTGAGAACAATATCTAAAAACCAAAAACAAACAAAACCCAAACCAAACAAAAACCAACAAAAACCCCACAAACGAACAAAACCACAAAACCAAACCAAACCAAAAAAACACACAAAAATCCAGCGTTGAAGGCAGACCTTA